CCGGCAGGTTATGGCGGCGTGCGGGGGCGCCGGGAGATGGCGAGACGCAGTTTCCCTCGTGCGGGAGATGACGGAGAAAGGGGTGCGGCCCAACTTGATCAACTACTCGGTGGCCATCTCCGCCTGCGCGAAGGCCGGCCGTCACGAGCCGGCGCTGGAGCTCATGGCGGAGATGAAGGACGCCGGGATCAACCCCAACACCGTCACGTGAGAGAGACAAGACAGACAGAAATAGAGGGAGAGAGAGGGGGGGGGAAGGGGGCGCAGAATAGTCGATTTTTCGTGTGTGTTTTTGGCGCACCACGTGCATACTGCCGTGTGAAGTTAAGGTTATTTTTGGTTGCGGTGAGATGGTGTTAATTTTGTTGCTTGTTTCTGGGGGGCACTGCACGTTTGCGGCGGTGTGGGTGTTTTTTTTGCTGAACTTGATCTGTTTTCCGGCCTTTTTTTTGTGTTTCCTCCCGTTCTTTCCTTCTGTCCCTGTTTAGGGAGCCCTGCTACGTGTAGCTGTGTATGCTGCCTCTGCTTTTTCGTATTTTTTCTGTTCTTGTTTTTTGTTTGTCCGCCGTCATCCTCGGCGCGCCCCCCGGGTGCGGGTTCTGAATATATCTGTTTCTCCGGATGTTGCCCCTTTTGTTCTTCTTGCCCTGTCTCTGTGTGCGCCGCCTTGCTCTGCGCTTACGCCCTGGTGTGTTGCGGTTTATATCCTCCGTTGTGTGCATTCGCGCTGCTCTGGTCGCTCTACGTGGCAAGCATCGTGTGTACTTGCACTGATGTTCCGGTTTGTGATGGCGTCTTGCCCTCCTCTTTCCCCTCCCTCCCGGTGTCAACCGTACCTGGCCGTCTCTCAAATCTCTCCAGCTACTCCTCCGCCATACTAGCGTGCTCGGCATCTGGCCAATGCGGTGATGCGGTCGGTCTGCTTAGAGATATGTCGAAGAGGGGAATGTCCCCCTCTCGGACATGCTACGCCCCTGCGATAACGACATGCGCGCGGGGTAACGAGCCGGATATGGCGCTCTCGCTTCTGAGGGAGATGCCCACGGTGAGAGATAGAGAGAGCGAGAGAGAGAGAGAGAGAGAGAGAGAGAGAGAAAGAGAGAGAGAGAGAGAGACGTAGCATGAGCTTCTTTGAAAACAAAAAATCCAACACACCGGGGTTCTTACTCTCGTCTCCTCACAGATCACGTGATCTCGGACAACGACGATGCCGTCCACGGGAGTCCGGCTGGCTTGCAGCTGGTCGCAAGTGTANTACAAAGAGAGGCAAAGAGAGAAAGGAGCAGGCGGTGAGACAGAGTGATACACAGAGAACGAGGAAACGGCACAGAGAAAAGAGACAGGGAGGGACAGAGACAACGACGGAGACACACCCACACCCACACAGAGATGCCGTTTTTGTCCTTCTGTCCACTTCCGAAATAATACACACGCACCATCTGACTCACCTCTCTCGAGACCCCCGTGTTTTCCATTCGTTTACCGGAGTGTTGACATCATTTTGATCTCACACTCATCGCCGTCGCTCTTCACACACAGCGCTCTTTGCCGTTGGCTACCTGTAGCCATGGACCCGGTCACGTTTAAACACGCCTACCTCAAACCACAGTGTCACACACTCCTCCCATCGTCTCCAACAACCGCCCCTCAGCAAGAAGTGATATCGGCAGGATAGGCAATAAAGGGAAAACATTTTTGAGACACCTTTGGCAATTGTAGGAAGGAGCGATTGGCCATGTGATCGGTCCTGTGGGAACAGCAATGCTCCGTCCTCTCGAGGACGCGCTTGGTAAACGGTCTTAACAGTTAAGGCAGGCAAAGCCTGAGTTGACCTTCCTTCCGAAACCCGGTGACATCTAGCCGGCCGCCGCTCGTCCACCCACCCCAAACCCTTGCATGGCCTTCAACAACCGCCCTATCCTCCCTTCCAAAGCCAGGCGATAGAAAGCCGACGGCACCTCCACCCATACGTTATCCCGGGCCCCCGCCCCCATGTCGGTGGGATTTGTGATACCGCTGTCGTAGGTGGGGTTAGTCCCAGACGCGGTGTGTTACGCCGCGGCACTGTCAGCGCTGCGAAACGACTGCGACAATTCTGCGGCGGTGTTGAGGGAGATGAGGGACGGGGGTCTCGCGCCCGCGCCTGGCCTGTACGTCGAGGCGGTTAGGGCTTGCAGAAGAGTGAACAAGGAGGAACAGGTGAGAGGGGGAGGGGGCTTGTACTCATAGCCGCGCATACTGCTGTGGTCGTTAGACCGTTGGCCTTGCATACCTACAATGCCGGCGCAGGCCGGGTCTTCACCGGACCAGGCTCGCACGTCAGCAAGCGCCGTGAGGTATAGGGGGATATCATGTATTTGTATGCCTTAGCTGTTAGACCACTGCGTCCGAGAGGACGGAGCTTTGTTCCAACAGGAATGGTCACCGATGGCACAATCGTTCCTTCCTGCACTTTGCCCAAGGTGGCTCAGATTGTTTTTTTCCCTAGTTGTATGCTATCGACATCACTTCTCGTCTTTTCAGTCCGTTCCTGAAACTCTTGGGCGGGGTGAAAGGGTCGTGAGTGGATAAGAGTGTGGATTTAGGGTCAGTGGTTGAGTGTCGGGGCTTGCGTTTGAGTCTGGTACATCAAGTGAAGGACCTAGGTCAGGAGCGGCATTGGTTTGTAAGCACGAAATACGCACACATTTGTTCTCTCCAGCAAAGCTGCCGGGGGCGTCTCCAGGAAGGCTGGTGTGGGCTTGTCATGCCCGTCATATTCCTGAGTTAACCCGCGGAGACGACGTATGCATAGGTGTTTCACCCGCTGAGGGGCGTATCTGTGATCTCGACGGCGTCCTCTCATGCCCCCAGCACTTTTTTTTTTTACTGCCGCTGTCCGTGTGAATGTCGGTATTGCACAACCCAACCCCTACTTGTCTATGTTTCTCGTTATCCTGACTGCTGCCGCTGTGAGGGTTGATCGGCCCTACGAATCTCGTCCGACAATTCCGCTTCGATATCGACCGCTCGATTGTCGGTAACTTTGGTTTTCAACTTTGACCAGGTTGATGCGCTTGCGGAGGAGCTAGCATCGCTGGTCGGTCGAGACCGAGCTTCGACTCTCCTTTTACCGGGTGTGTATGTGCATGTGTATGTGTATGTATATGTGTTTGTTTAGTCTATGTGTTTGATTTGGTAGCATCGACCGCGCAATCCGGCTGACCAATGAAAAGACGTCGGTCTCAGTGCGGTTGAAAACGCAAGATCGTTCTAAAGGCGGTGATGTGGGACCCCGTGAGGGGGCGTCATGGGGGAGGCTAGGCTATGTGTGTTCGTATGCTTTTTGTTGTTATCGGGACACCAGCCGAGCTAGACAGCTGGCCGAATGCAAAAGTATTGACATTTTCTTTTTCGTCTTATCCCTTGTTTATTTTCAGTTCGCTGCCTTGCGTGTTGTCTCTCCCCCGTTGTCCTGATCATCGCCCCGTCTCCCTCTCGTCGCCCCGCCCCGCACGCATGCGCGTCCGTCGTTACTGTGCCCCATCACAAAATGCCACACCCACAAGATTGATATGTTGGGTCGACCGATCACCTGCGGCGACAAGGCGATGCTGCACCCTGGGACATCCAATGGTCATCGTCACCACACTGCCATGAAGGAAGAGGCGTTTTCAATGCAAGGGTGATCGTTCCCTCGTGCTAGGGACAAGTGTAACCGTCATCCTCCGCCTGCCATACATGTAGGGTTTGTAGGGCGGGGGATTATGCACTATTAGTGCCCTTCAGAGTTCGGGCAATAAAACTTGAATGACTATAATAGATGAGGGAGCGAGCATGAATGAAAATCGAGTCGTAGATGAGCGACGATCGTCCATGAACCGTTTTCATACGAAGTGTTGCGGTGAGGCCGAAGCCGGGGGGGCGTTTGTTTGCGCAACCGGGGGTTGTTCACTGTAGCTTACACGCCGTGATTCTTTCCTTTTTTTTGTCCATGTTTTCACGTAGACGTGGATGTTGAGCTCAGTTACGTCGTCATTTTTTTCCATGTTGTCGATGCCGTGAAAGCGCCAAGAGCTGAGAGGGCATACATCATGAAACCACGGGGGGTGGTTGAGTGTTGTCCCCGGCTTGGCGTTCGTTTGACACACGATCAAACGAGATGTGAAGAAACACCACATCACCCCTCGATCGGTCGGTTGTCTACTGCTTTGGGGGCGGGGCCGGGGCTGGAGAAAGAGCCGTTGTTGGCGAAGTTCCGCCTGCGATGGGTGTGTGGATTTCCGACGTTGCACATGTTGCACATGTTGTTCTTTGCTATTTTTCGGGCTCGAAGCGATATGCTCGCTATTGCTCCGGTTCACGCCGGACTATTCGGCGCCGTGCCTTTCCGCGCAGACAGACTAATACGCACGCGCGCCCTACACGGCAGCAGCAGTGGTAGTCCCTCACAGCAGTATTGCCAGACCAGCACCCCGTGGAGCGGAATTCGAAAAGTACCACGGAAGACCTCTCGAACCATCGTAGCCGCTGCTGCCGCCGTTCTTGGTTGGACGTTGGATCGTTGGGGGGTATGGCATGCCATACGGTGGAACCGAGGAATGCCGCCCGCAAGAATTACGACCCATGTACTAGACCGTCTGCAATGATGTACGTTGGGTTGGGGAACCGTGGCGATATGGTAGAGAGAGAGCCGAATGACTTAGTCGGTAGGCTTGTCATCTCTACCTACCACGGCGATTTGTATCACTACTTCGGTCACTAGTCGTCATTCCTCCCCATCCTTACGCCCGCGCGCCAACAGAAAACGCTCCTGCACCGCGTCTCCGGCCAGTAGGAGGTCAACAAAGGACAAACATGTTGGGCGGTTTTTGAAGCTAGCCAATGAACGACGTCCTTGCTTTTCAACAAAGAGAGGGTCGATAGTAACAAAACGGCCCGGTAATAAAAAAATTGCAACAAGGACACAAGCGTTCGAATGGCGAAAGGTGATCCAAGTAGAGCCGGCGAACCCCCTTGTGCCTTCCAGCAGCAAAAAAAGAAAAAAAAACGAACATAGGATTGAGAGCTTTCACTCCGCACGAAAGCCAACACCGACCTAGGGCTTCTACAACAGCAAACAAAGCTACCGTGTGGCTTTCATTGGCACACACACATGCATGTAGGGAGCCGTACCGCCTATTCTAAACGTGTGTCCCGTGCAAGCCGTACGTCAAAGTCGCGAAGGTTATCGTTGGCCGCAGCAGCACAGCAGTAAGGCGTGTCTGCTTTCCACCCGAACACCCCAGCATCTCTTACCAAAAAACGGTTTTCACACAGCGTACACCCGCTGGCCATCAACAACAGGAAGCCATGTTCGAGGATACGTTCTCCTGCTTTCGACCAGTTGATAACCTCTAGGCGGGTGTCTCCACTCATTCGCCGTCCACCCGCCCGAAAGCTTAGTCTATTGTAGATCCGTCTACATTTGAAAAAAAAATCGACAGAGAAGCGCCTGCTACCTCGAGTTGGAAGTAGTCAGACAGCAAAAGCGTAGAACCGCCTCGCTCGTTGTGGCCAAGAACACAGCGTAATCCTCATAGAAGGCTTGCCAGAAAAACATAACCGATAGACTCGAGTCCTCAAGACAGAGGGTTGACTCGTTGGCTCCTTCCTGCCCAACAAACAGAAGAGACCAAGCGACCAGACTACGAATCACCAGTTAATGGTGATGGCGGCATTACGTCTTTAGCATCAAAGCCTGCCACACGTATTGAAGGAGAGAGAGAACATCGACCAATCAGCGAGGCCGATCGATCCTGGCTGGCGGCATCCGACCAGAAGCACCTTCCGTCATCGAATCACAAGCTCGAGGCGCCGCGGCCCTTGGCGTGTACGGCCGCGTAGGGCTTCGGAACGGTGCGGGGCGGGTTGAGCGGCTGCGGAGCCGCGCGCGAGGCTGCGCTTCCGCCCGCGCGGGCCAACACCTTGATCTGCAAAGCCAACGGCACGGCATGGCAACAACAAACACAGGCAGACATACACGGGCGTTGGTGCCGTGCAAACGAGTTGATACACGGTACTGGGCCCTCTTAGTGCAAGGATATGTTCAAAGATTTTACCTGCACAATACCGGGAAGCTACACTATTCAACCTGCGCTATGGAGGGCCCAGTACTGTTAAGTTTTTCTCTTCGAAGGGTTGTTGAAAATCACCATTACCAAGCCTTTTAAAATAAAAAGAGGGAGTGTCGCACAAAAACACGCTCGATCGGCTTACGCTAAGGGCCTGACGTCGGAGAAAGCCCCCCCCAAAAAAAAAACACACACGGACGAAAACGAACCAGGTCAAGCAAGACCAAAGGCGGGACAGCGTCTTGCGAACAGCCACGCGATTCAGTTCGTCGTTCTCATGGAATCAGCCGGAGACAAGTGGCACATGCTGCAAAGAGCCAAGGGCGAGGCCGATACACAAACTGGCCAAACATTAAGGCAAGCCTGATCATGACTACCTCTTCCTCATCCCGTCCCCCGTAGAGTCGGCGGGACAAACCAACACCAGTTCAACCCTGCCAAAGGTCGCTGGGATTCGTTTCTTCTTTCTGACGCAATCAGGGTTTTAGCTGGACAACACGATGCCAAGAGTGCCAGGGCGAGGCCTAAACATTCCCGCGAAAACCTGGTCATGACCAACCCATCCCCCGTCCCCCAGCTAAGGATAACGACCCATTCTCACCTTTTCCGAGATGAGTCGTCCGTAGTCCGCGTCGGCAGCGGCGAAGTTGGCGATGGCGCGCTTCTGGATGAAGTCTTGGGCTCCCGACTGTTTTCGTTTTTTTCGAACGTTACCCAAGGCCGAGACGCACAGGACACGTTAACATGCAAGTCGGGGCGGGCGTAAAGGGGCGACATTTCGTCCTGTGTCCGGGAAAAAAAGTGTGAAGGACGCGGAAAAAAACGCGTACTCTCTGTCCCGAGGGAAATTTCGGGGCATAGCCGAAGGCCGATGGCAAGTAACGACAAAACTCACACACAACACGTTCCTTTAGTGCGCCTTAGTTTCCTTGCTCAGGTTTTATGATCCCAACCCACCAAAACGTCGCCGCCCACCAATTCCGGGCTACGCCTCGCCGACAGTGGCGGCGGGGAGGCGGCGGCGGCGGCGGGGCGAAAAACGGCAACACGAAGAGAACGAAGGCGGGGGGGGTACCGCACCGTCGGCGCCAGTGGCGGGAGCGCCGCAACCTCTCCCACGCGACAATCATCACCACTACCACCGCAACCACCGCACTACAACCACAACTAGTCTACGGATAAAATCCAAGTCGTTCTGAAACGTGCTCTGAATGACGCTAAACACGGTCGGTTAGTTTCGCACGGGCTCTTGTCGTGGCAAGGATGGCCGGGGGGCTAGCAAGAGACGTGGAAAACCTGACCCAAACGAAACGAAAAAAACTCACCAAAGCACCGGCGATGTTGTCCGTGAGCCTCTGCCGTCCGCCTTCATCTAGGGTTCGCCTAAAGAACTCGCCCGCCTAGGAAAATGGTGGCACCGCCAAAATAGAACGGAGTGGAGTTGAGCTGCCGCTCAAGATCACACGTCCAAGTGTCCCTTTCTTGGGAAGGGCTTGCTTGACTCTTACGAAATGCTTGCTTTGCTCTTACGAAAGGCTTGCTTTCCTTCCGAAGCCTACGCTGGAGCTGCCAGACCGGGGTACACAGCACTTTTGGGTCCTCAATAGTAGGGCGGGTGACCGGCAAAGCAGGCGAAGTTGTTTGAGGCTTTGAATAGGGCGCGTGCCCGCTACAGGGCGTTTATTTTATGCATGTGTAGGGGCCCATCACGGCACACAACGGTCAACACCAGAAAAAAAAAAAAAACTCTGCATCCTTGACACAGCAGCCCGGGAACTGCCGCACGGCTGTCTACCACAGCAGCAGCTCAACACCATCGAAAGAAGGGGCTAAACATGCCGAGCCCTAACTCCTAGAGAGAGCAAGCACGGACGCAAACAACAAAATCTGCTGACCAACTCGGTTGCAGGAGCAGCAGCGAAAGGGTTGGGTTCGACAGACTCACAGAGTCGCCTTGAGGAGAGGACGCCGCAACCGCAGCCTTCAAGAACCAAAACCAACACTAGCACCAGAGAGAGACGGACACCTGGGTGAAGTTGTCGTCGTCTCCGGTGGGGTAGCGAGCCACGTCCCCCGTGGCCCTCTCGGCGTGCCAGCCCGCGTGGGAAGGGTCCGCGGCCGCGGGTCCAGAGAAGCTGTTAGGGAAGTAGTTAGGGGCGTCGGTCATGTTGCCGTCCACGCGCATGGGCCCTGCAAACGCGCCCGCCGGCGGGGGCGAAGAAACGCGGGAGAGGAGAGTGTTAGATGGAACAGGCTAAGGGAGGCCATGTGCCAAAGGACACATCTTTTGGTGCAGATAGTGGCTTATCCAGTACATCGACAAATCAGTCAGCCGCTGGCTACCAAATCCATGATGTATTAGCGTTCATCGAACATGGTAGTCGTTTTCAGAGGAAGCGACGACAGCTAGGGTGGTTCGGTCGAGCCGTTTCGGGGTCCCCCGCTGGAGGCCACGCAGCACAACACGGGGGGAGGGGGGGGGGGGGGNGGGGGGGGGGGGGGGGGGGGGGGGGGGGGGGGGGGGGGGGGGGGGGGGGGGGGGGGGGGGGGGGGGGGGGGGGGGGGGGGTGCCACGCGTAATCAGACGGTGCCATGCGATATCAGAATGAGGCTTGCACCAGGCCCGACCAACTAGAACTCGTCAACAGGGCCCAAAAGAGCGAAGGAAACGTACGGAGAAGGTACTTTTTGGCGCCCCCCTTGCTGTACATTACCCCGGTGGGGCGGTCGTTCTCCGAACGAACGGCGACATGTGGGTTGTTGACAAGCAAAAGCTTCCGCCTCCGTCTTTTGTTTAATGGCTTAAATGGTCCTTGCAAGCTTGTGCGTACTGTACACGTTTCGGGCACCCACCATATCCGTCTGAAAGGTCCTTGATGGACCATGTGCTTCTCACCCACGGCGTCATCTTCTCCCGGAAACAAGGACGACAACGAGGATAACTGTCCAATTTTTTCCCGTCACACAAAACATGCACGCGTGGCCCACGTAAACACCCGACCATCCATCTCCACGTGCATCCCATCGACAGAAAACCCGACTATTAATACATGCATACCACCACACACGGAAGACAAACAAGACCACTCAGCGAACTGGGTACCGCCGACAACCAAGCGCATCGGTCGGTCCGTTGATACCGTTGGTGACGTAAGATAGCACACCCCCCTGGACCGATTTTCAAAGATCAGCTACCCCACGGCAATGATGTACAAGTCAAGCGACACGTTAACGGAAAGCTCTCGACCACGCCGTCCCAAGGAAAGCAATTTTCGGCACTGCCATGTGGAGTAATCGAGCTCTGAAAATCGGTCCTTGGGGTGTGGTGTCCTACGTCACCTACGGTAGGCGTAACAGGTCGACTCACCGTCACGCTGGTAGGGCTGCACTTTGGCGTTGAACGGCCGGTTGACCGGGATCTGCTGGTAGTTGGCCCCCAGCCTGTGGCGGTGAGTGTCGTTGTACGAGAACAAGCGGCCCTGTCGGAGCGAGCGGTGCGAGGCGGGGCCACGGGGAGGTGCAAACATTAGCAATTGTTCAGTTTTCTTGACATACTTCAAGGGGGGGGGTTGAAGGCAGGCTTGTTCCACTTCTTGGTGCATACTTAAAAAGAGGGGATTTAAGGCAAGCTTTTCCATTTCTTGGTATACTTCCATAGGGTGCGTGGCGCAGACTATGATGGTATGGCACGGTGCGATACACAGGGCGTAGCTGTACATCACCGCACATCATGGGCCAATACAAAACGGCGTGCCAACCGGGGGACTATGCATGTCATGTTCTCCAACAGAGACAGACAAGAAGCGAGATGCACGCTTAAGGTGCAGATTGGTCCACGACCATGGTTTCGGGAAGTGTGATGGGGGCGAAAACGTAAGCTTCGCGTGGGTGTGTCGCAGCATAATACAAAAACAAAATAATTCGAGGCACGCAAACACAAACCTGAAGCATCTTGTCCGGAGAGGGTTCGATTCCCGGAATCATGTTGGACGGAGCGTACGCCATCTGCTCCACCTATATGCCCGGGTTTCACAGTGGCGGCAGGATGGCGTTTCGTTAAACCTTCTTCGTGTAACCAAAGGAAAACAGGAGCTTGCTTACACGAATCACGCGTTTAGGGTAGGATGATGACAACGCTCTCAAGTCGAAGACCACGCACGAGACGGGGACAACGACCAGCGGAACCACGTTAACGTCAGCGTGATCTTGGATCGGAGTTCTACGTTTGAAGAAAGGGAGGCCGCTAGGACCTGCAAGCATGCTGTCGATATGTGTGGCGATGGGACTGAACGAGAACACGCATCCAAAACTTCATGCGGAGCCCTGCAGACGGCGTCAACAACACCGTGGGCATTGACAACAACGACAACAACCACCTACCGACACTCTTGCTTGCTTTTTTGTTGTTGGTGGTGGTTTGTCTTCCAATGAAATTTTTTTCGGTCTCAAAAGACAGAAAAAAAAAAAAACACATGAGATTTGTGCAGGTCTCTTAGCCAAAAAGAACAGTGCAAAGGGCACAAAGCTGACACAAAACAAGGCGGAAAAAAAGAAACTTACAGCGTATGTATGAATATTACTGTTGTTGTACGTCCGATCTCACCTCAGCGAAGTAGTTGGTGGGGTTCCGGTTGAGGACCATGCGTCCGACCTCCCTGGAGCCGTTGCGACACGCAAGGATAACGCCACCAAGATGGAACGGAAACCGAGCAAAAAAAGGGGGGGGGATCGGGGGGCACGAGGGGGGAGGGAGAGGCAAGGAGAGACTTTTTCAGGTGCCGAGCAAAAGAAACCGGGGAGAACATTGAGACCCAAAGGCGACGGAGCAACCAACCAGCAACCGCACAAGTGTGCGACAACACAAGCAAAGAGCCCACCACACACAGCTCAGAAAAATTCTGCCCACGCGTTTTTTAGTTCCGACTCCTCCTCAAGCGAAACATCGGTGTCGAAGACAAGAACACCTGCTGTAAGAACAAAAAAAAATCGAGAGTTTGCTGTGTGGTAGGTGAATTACCTGAGCGGGTAGTCGGCGTGCGGCCAGACCTTGGTCACGTCGAACGGGTTGAAGCTGCACCGAGCAGCCTCCTCGAGGCCCATAACCTGAGATCACACGAAAAAAAAAAAAAGAGCGCTTAAGAGGGTCAGAAGCGTGCGAGGCGTGAATCCATGTCTGTTTCTTCCCCAAAACAAAACCAACCACTTCATACGCATATCCACGCACAAAACGTCCATACTAAAAAGCAATGGATCATTCTTGGAGAGCATACATGGTACGTAGCTATCTTCCTGTTTCCATCATGTGTCCTGGCATCATTTTCGTCTCAGACGTGTTTCCACAACAAATCTCGCTTTCGACTCAAGAAAGCAATAACCAAGGCACATCCAGGCAAACATACTCCGCCAAAAATACGCTCACCGCCGCATACATGTCAAGGAACAAAACTCCACCATATAAACGACGCAGCAGTGCTTGAATTAGCATGTACCGACAGGGCAGCTCACCTGGACGTAAACAGTCCAGCTCGGGGGATTGCCATCGGCGATGGCGTTGTACAGGTCCTGGATGGCGTAGTCGGGGTTGGTGGCCTGCATCACGTCGGCCTCTCCGGCGGGAAGGTTGCGAATTCCCTGGTCGGTCTTGAAGTGGTACTTCACCCATACCTTTTTCACGCGACGATGAAAGCGACAATGAGGCGGTGTGCGTTTGGGGGGGTACTCACGTAAACGCGTGCCGTAGTCGTTAGACCATTGACCTCGCATCCCTGCAATGCCTGGACGGAGCATGTCGGGTTCTCACCGGACCAGGCTCCCACATCACCAAGCCCGAAGCGCCGTGGATATCCGGCGGAATGGGGTGAGGGTGTACTAATAGCGTAAAAGTATGCCGTATTCTAGTCATTGCACACCATTGACCTCGCATCCCTGCAGTGCCTGGATGAAGCGATATGCCGTATCGAAGTTCTCTCCTGTTTCGCGTGCCGTCGATCATTTTGACGACGCATCCCCTTCCAGGACAAAAAAAAAAAGGTGCTCAACCCTAATAGAGGCACCGTCGGACACCACGGAAGTGGGTTGGGGTTGAGCGCTAGCGTTAAACCCAATTTGTCCCATTTCATCCCGGGGGAGTCCTTGTCCTTGCTCATCTTTTCCTGTTGGGCTTTGCGCTCACCACGCATCTCCCCAGGCATGGCTGGTCTGTTGTGCGCGAGTCTGCCTACTTTCGTCAAAAAATCAAAATGGCAACGTCCCTCCGGTTCCTTTGGACGTTGAGGGAGGGGGGGGTGTCTTGGGATGCCCGCTCCGCGAACAAGGGAGGGCTGCACATCGGGCGCATACCTTTGCCTCACCAAATGAAAAAAGAAATTTCGCACACCACAGATCAACCTCAACAACAACAACAACAGCAGCAACAACGCACGCAACTTGACGCGCGGAAAAACACAACGCACAAAAACACAGAACTCGCCAACCCGAGCCCAACATCTCAACAAGAAAAAAAAAAAATCCGGTCTTCGGTACAACGGTGTTCCTCCCCGACCCCTCATTCCTTACCGCGTTTCCCTGTGCGTTGACGTTCTTGAAGGTGTGGCTGCCGTATCCATTCATGTGTCGGTAACCATCGGGCGTGCCCCTGTCAGAGAACAGGAACGACACCTGCCCAAGAAAAACACAAGAAAAAAAAAACACATTAGAGTGAAACGACGCAACAAGAGGACGCTGCTACGCGGGTGACAAGGGCACTCCCTCGATTCCACGACCAGGTGTGCTTCCCTCTGTGCCTACTTCCTCGATATCTGCCTGCTTCACGACGATCAACAAAAATAGGACGTGCGTATGTACGTCCTACCGACGCGAGTGCTCGCGGGGCGTATCCTGCAAAAATATTCTCGGGGGGTCGAGTCGAGGTGAAGCACACGAGCCAACCGTCGTCACAGCCGGTGCCGCAGCACGTGTGCACCGATACACCGAAAACAAACAAGGCGAGAAAAAAACGAACGCCATTCCGAGCGACAACAATTCATCGCTTCTCGGTCCAGGTCTTGTCGTCCAGGCAACCGTAGTAGGGGCCCCGAAAATACCGTTCACGACAAAAACGCCGTCATGCATCCACGCCAATAAACCACTCTCGGGGCCTGGGAGCCATGCTTGCCTGGTGGGTCGTTTCCGGGCGCAGCGAGATGAAGTCCCAGAACATATCGGGGTCTTTGAGGTGGGTCCTCGGGTTACGCTTCTGCGTGTGGATGAAGCTAGAATGTGGCGTTGACACAGCGGCACAGAAGAGCAGCAGCAGCAGCAGCAGCAGTTGCAGTAGCAGTAGCAGCAGCAGCAGCAGCAGCAGCAGCGAAGAAGAGGTCAGCCGTCGAACACAACAGACCAGAGAGGATTGGTACAAAAATACAGAATCTTGCCGACGAAAAAAAAGCAGCGAAAAGTCTCTCTCCGTCTGTCTCTTCCTCTCTACCCACCCACAGCCGCTGACGTCTTTTCATTGGTCAGCCGGTTACAGTACCGCGGTCGATGCAAACAACAACCACACACACAAACTCTCTGCGTTCATTACCTGGGGAATAGGATGGGGTCTCGGATGAAGAAGATGGGGGTGTTGTTACCCACCAGGTCCCAGTTGCCCTCCTCCGAGTAGAACTTCACCGCGAAACCGCGGGGGTCCCGCGCCGTGTCTGCGGAACCGCTCTCGCCTCCCACCTATCCCCCCCCGCCAGAATCAGTCCCATACGGTACACACATAGCAGCAGTAGCAGCGACAGTGACCATCAGCGGCGCCCCCTCACGGCAGACTACACTATTATACAGCAAAAGAGGATCGCCTACGCGAGAACCTTAACTGTCATGAGGAAATAGAACATGCGCGGGGGTACGTAGACCCCATCCTATCCCCAACCCTAACCCCAACCCCGCTTCCCCATATTTCATGCGCTATCCATCCCGTTTACTCAAAGGGTACCGGTAAAAAATGAACGGCAGTGGCATCAGTTTCTTGCTGCTGCGGGGTCAAATGTGTTGCGGCTTTTTTTTTTCCGTTTCGCCTCATGCACAGGCTACTGTACGCATAAAAAATAAAAACCTTTTCGTACTAGCGGTCCGTTTTGTGGCGCGACTTTGCTCTTCGTGTGATGGTCAGATTTGTTACCGCACCGGCGCATCTGTATGTATCACGTCGCGTGCATGCAACTCAGCCAGATAACAGCAAGCCTGGAGCAAAAAAAACAACAACACAGCAGGCCCCATTCTGAGAAACCGGCGGCGTGACTCTGGCGATGGCATCTGGATTGTCTCGTCGAGGCCAGTCCTGCAAAAAATCAAGACCCGTGTTTTAACAGAATGGTCTTTCATCTCTTGAGGATACGAAACCAACAAGAGGGCTCCTTAGGGAACAAACCAGCTCGATTGACGCCGGTTCCATAGGTCGAACGCAGCTCCGAACAAGTCGAAAGCTGCTCGATGCCAGACGACCGGCTCCCCGAACACTCTCTACTCCAAAACAAATACGTACGGTTGACTTATTCGGTTTAGGAGAACAATTGGACACGAGAGAGGGTTTTTCAGATTGTCTACACACCCAGTCTAAAAAGTAGAGACGCTCATTTTACTGTTGCATGCATACCACCAATCTACAAGCATCTCGTTGTATGCATACATGTAGCTGTGGCTCTTACCGTGGAGAAGCGGACGGCGACAGGCGTGCGTTTGCCGACGTGGCTGAACATCTTCCCCTTGCAGAGGCCCTTAAGCTCCGGGGTGGTCACCTTGTCATTTTACATGCATGCACACAAACGCGCAACACACGACGAAAAACGAAAAAAAAATGAGGTAATCAATCGAACTACAGCGTTTTGGGGTAAACTTAAAGCGTGTGGTTCCAACAATAGTTGGGGACTAGGAAAACAAAGAATGTACGGATATTAGCAAAATGTGGTTTGGTATTAACGAATTATGCCGACAACCCCTGAAACGAATTAACACATCTACTGAGGGGGGGGGGGGGGGGGGGGGGGGGGGAGGCGTGACGGCCCGCAAAAGACGCGGCCCCTACAGGCAGCGGTCTGCAGAACAGAACACGGTCTGATGGCGCAGCAGCTCCGAGACGAGCGCGCGGGCGACGCATCAACATGACAAGACCGCGCTAACAAACACACGGGAAGAGTGACGTCGACAGCACCAGCGGTGTGCTTTAAAGAGCAGTGACGTATTACGCCCCCCTCTCCCACTGCGGTCTTGTGGTTGCGCGATGGGTCACTCGATTCGTGCGACCAAGGTGCTAAGTTCGAATACAAGCGCGTGGATGAGGAGTTGTCCGTGCTTAAGAAGGGACTACGCCGGATAAGTATGGGAAGGAAATAAGAAGGCAGTCAGAGAGCTCGAGGCGGCGCAGATGAAAGCAGCGAAAGTCATCCAAGCGCACAAGCAATGCAGCCGTCACGGCAGAACTGGGGATTCAATCCTTACGATCGGGAAGAGACGCAAGGAAGCTGACACGGCAGTATCGCATGTGCGGCATGGGAGAGGAAAGGTGGCCGAGAATAGTCTGGGAGGCGAAGTGGGAAAACAAGGGGAGGGGTAGACAACCCACGGAGTGGGTCAAGGTTGTGGATGACGTGTGGAAAGGGTTCGAAATTGACAAAGACGATACGCTGGATACGGAGGGTCTAGGAGGGTTCAAGGAGAAGATATCTGTTGCTATTATCGCGAGAGAAGAACATAATCTATGAAAAGAAACCAAGGATAAGGAGGGTCTGCATGTGTATGGAATGTTGAAAGGAGGGATAGGGTTCAGGGGGTACCTACATGGACCCATGGATGCAGGGACAACGCTAAAGGTCAAATTCAGGACCGGGGACATCGGCCTTCGAGAACGTAGCCGAAGACTTCACAAGGCAGACGATGAAGACGCCAAGTTCAAATGTGATTGCGGCTCCGAGTGCGAAAACCGTGTTCATGTAGTCGCGGAATGTCGGCTGTACAAGAAGGAGAGGGAAGTGTCCATGACTGAGCTGGGAAAAGTAGAAGAAAAGTACAGGGAGATGTTTTGAGGTATGGGACAGCCAGGAGAAGACGTTAGCTGTGCTGGGGCATAGGAAGTGGGTTGAATAGACGGGAAGTGATAACGGTAGGATAGATAGTCTAGGGAATACAATATTGAGCCACCTTTGGCAAAGTAGGAAGGAACTATTGGCCATCGGTGATCGGTCCTGTGAGGACAATGCTCCGTCCTCTCGAGGACGCGTGGTCAATGGTCTAACCGCTAAGGCATGCAAAACATNCCCCCCCCCCCCCCCCCCCCCCCCCCCCCCCCCCCCCCCCCCCACCCCACCCCTAGTAAGTAGCCTGGGTCGGCGAAAACCCGGCATATCACTCCGTAGGGGTTCGAGGTCAAAGGTGTAAAGACTACTGTACATGCTGAAGACTTCTCAAGGAAATTAAGCTTGGTTTTAATAGCGGGCACAAGGATAGTGTCGAGGAAAGGGATACGAAGCCCCCCTCCTCGATTTCATACTTAAAAAATAAACAAATAACAAAATCCTCGCACAGGCGGTTCTTTACATGCACACACCCCCCTCGTGGTGAAATAAGAGCTTGGCCCGGTGAGGACCAAGTGTGCCCAGCGTGCTCCGTCCGCCTCCACCGGGGATTGCCATCGGGGTTGGGTTTTCGTCGCTTGGCAGCCATGTTGTAAAACAAGCCGATCACTTCCTGAGCTCGGCAACCAGGCTACCGCTTTTTTTTTTTTCCCTTTGTTTTTTTTTCTTGCCGTAACCATGAATGGTGGTCGAGTAGATTACGTGGATGATGTTGGGCGGGGTCGAGAACCCTCACTCCGCGCCAAGGGGATAATCACCCCACGTTGTGTTAAATTGGTCAAGCACCCTCGAGGCAATTGTACAGTGCTTACAACTCTCTCTGGAAGTGAAGGCATCAGAAAATAAATTTAGTCATACGCAGCCGTCATCCGTACGCAAAGAAGTAAGCACAAGATGCCGAACACCCTTAGCAGGATGCAGCGCACCCTTCATGCGACTCGCCGAATATCTCACGGCGCTTCGCGCTTGGTGATGTGAGAGCCTGGTCCGNACGACTATGAGCCCCCCCCCCCCCCCCCCCCGCCCCGCTCCCACCTCGAAGTAGCCAAAGGCGCCGGCCCCCTTGGCGTGGACCACGCGCTCGGGGATCCGCTCGCGGTCGAAGTGTGCCAGGTGGTCGATCAGGGTGTAGTCCTGCCGACGACAACGAGAGGGACAAAATACAAACCACCCCGGGTGGGTGGGGGACTCACGGTTAACAATGTGCCAATGACCGATGGGAGTAAGAGCAGAGTTGTTGTTAATGCTCGACTTTGTTTTTTTCGTTTACTGCATTCCGTGGACAACAATCAGTGGTGTTGCTTCCAAAAATGAGAACGGTTTGGGGAACGGTCACCAATCAATAGGGCCACGCTTGTAAATGTCTCGAAAAGCACAACGTTGTTTGTAGATCAATGTCTCAATTCCGAGAGTGCGAGCCCCGGTTTCTATCTCGAGGTGCCGCCTGCTACAGATGAAGACAACAAGATCGGCCATTGTTGTCGTCGCAGAATGCTCCCCGTCAATTAACGTCATGTCCCAAACATCCCCCCCCCCCCTCAGTTTTTCTTCATATTTGCTTCCTCCGCCCCTTTCGTTTTCGAGAGTTGCCCCTCTTCATACAACAAACTCTGGGGTCCTAAAAACGAACGAACGGTGGAGACTCTCGAAAAAAAAAGTCAGTGCTCTGCTTGTAGCATACACCTGCCGCCGCGGGATAACACCCACCATGGTACACAAATCTGGAGCATACTTTGTACCAGTCAACGCGAAAAAAACAAGTCTTTCGTGTCGTTTAATTGTTGCTATTATTCTCTTGTAGGTTTGACTCCTTCCTACTCTCTACCCCCCCCCCCCCCCCCCCCCCCCCCCCCCCCCCCCCCCCCCCCCCCCCCCCNCCCCCCCAGTCTATCTTTTTTTACTCATCAGAGTCATCGACAAAAAAAAGAAACAGCTATTGGGAAACGTACGCACCAACAACAAAACATGAACCTTCCCACCGATTTGGTTTCTCGGTGATATCTCTGTACAGTGAAGCAGCAGCAACTTGTACACTCATCCGTACCCTGAGTGCAAGGTGGGCCACTTCGGCCTTGCGTTCCCAAGGAAACGAAAGCAGTTGCTTCAGGGGCAAGCCCACTGACCTCAACAAGCCCCAAAACCATAGTCTAATCTATATACCGGAGAGAAACGCCAAAAGGCGATGTCTGGTCTCCTACACAAAACCGCGGGCTCTCGCGAAGACGAGAAAATATGTCTCACGCGAAAAAAGAAAAAAAAAAAGGTTGCGATGAACAGCGCCAGAAGAAAACAGAGAGAGAGGGAGAGAAAGAGAGAAGGGGACAAAAAGGCGAGAACAAAGCTTCCGCCAAAAGGCGAGGCGGGAACGCAGAAGCTTGAGGTGTGCCACGAAAATACTGTGAATAAGTGTGGTATGCAGCACCACTACCATACGACAACAGAAATACAAACAAAAGCAACGAAAATGATGGCATTGGTACAATAGCAGAAAATACAGAGAAATGCCACTGCTTGGTACAACAACAAACGAGCAGAAAAAAAAAAATGCGACTGGTATGTGCACAACAACAGGTACGCAGCACAAAACAAACAATGCTACATGTACTCCTATATAGCTGGTAACTTATACCTGGAGCGTGATCGGCCCCCCGGGACCCGCTGTCTGCGATTCCGTGAGAGACTCGAGAGGGCGCCCGTTGCTCCCGGTCATGGTCTGAGGCGTCGGTGCCGCCCGTCCGCGCACGTCATCGACCGACCGTGTCATGATGTTGTTGTCGCCAACACCCGACCGGAGTACAGAGGGAAAGCGCATGACCAGCGAATCGATGGGAAACAGCGGGGGGTTGGAGCGGGAGGGTACGTATGTACGTATCAAAGTCGGGCGTCCACTAGTGGTGAGGCGGTGAATTGACGACTCTTACACAACAGCAGTTGCCAGACAAAGCGACTCGCGGAAAATCTTACTCTTCTGCTTCGGCGTTGTGTCCTCAGGTCGTACGCATACAACGTAGTGCGAGGAAGGTCGCAGCCATCGAAAGCACGACGCATATTTCTCGGGCGGAGGGGCGGGGAGGGACAACAAGGCCGCGTCAACATTGCAACATGTACCGCAAGAAACATGATATGGCCTACGCTTATCCGGTCTTTCCCAAGACCTCGGCCAGGAAATGGTGCTCCGTGGCTACAACAGTATTGTGCCTATCATACATAGCAGGCCACATTTATTTACAGCAGTAGAACGTTATCCACATTTTTTTTCCAAAAAAATACACAAAATCACAGAAAGACTGCCCGTTCGAGACATAACCACAGCAGTAGTCGAAGGGAGCGTGTCGGGAGTCTTTCAAGTGCAGGAAAGAGAGGGGGGAAGCAAGCCAGATCATCAACGACATTGGCGCCTACATGAAAACGTGCGATGGTTCCGGGATCTCCATGGGCAGTAGTGGGAGAGGTTCAGCCCACCGACGGCGTGGGGTGACGACAAGCAGAAGGATGCATTTAAGTGTGATCTCTCGAGTGATCTGTCGTCACTTGTTTGGGAAGCTATGTCCATGATACACGCATCCCATGCATGCAGCAGTTGTACTGTGGTGGGATATTTACACAATACAGTGGGGGGGCCCTCAATAACGCCGGTATGTGCCCAGCGCATCGACCGGCGCTATTGAGAGCGACCGGCGCGATTGGGATAGTGCCTCAATAGCGCCATAACCGGCGCTATTGAGAGCTCAGAAACCCTCAATATCGCCGGTTGCGGCACTATTGAGGGGTTGTGATCATATGGCGCAGCGATTGATTGTGCTTTACGGAGCCAACATATTCACAAATTGAGTAAGAAACGATTGGGAGGTGAAGCGGGTGGACTGCAAAGGATAAATTACCGAAAGCTACGGAGTTTTCTCCCCGGGGAGGGGATCGTTTTTCAACCCCCCCCCCGCGCGAAGAGCCTGGTCCGGTGAGAACCCGGCGTGCTCCGTCCCGGCTTTGTAGGG